CTCAATTGAAGTACTTCTGCATGTAACCCAATCGATAAATAAATGTAATCATGTGGGTGGTTTGCATTAATCTTGATACAACTCTTTCACTATTGCAGGTGAGCATGCTCACTCTTGTCCTGTGAATGCTATTAAGGCCATCAATTCATAATTCTACCGAAACAATAAAAAAATCAACCACCGCTAGCTCCCATTCACTTCACTCACGGTTCATGATAATGTTCGGTTACATTTACATTTACACCTCTATCTTCCATGCATATGCACTCATCAACCCATGAAAGACCTCTCATTCTTCCTCTTCAAGAACTCTCTTGCTGCCAAGATGAAGAAAGGCTTCAGAAACTCTTGCAATGGCGACGCCTCGACCTCTACTCTCAACCAACACCTCCCCGAGTCCTCTTGCGTCCTCACACCGTCTCTTGAGCTGAATGCTACTTCTCCCCTTCCATCTCAACGATCGCCTACCTTGGAGGAGATGATTCTCCAGCTACAGTTGGAAGAGGAACTAGCGAAAGAATCCAAGCTTCGCGGTAGAATGTCATGTGTTAACAATTCTGATATTCTACGATCTGCCAGGAATGCATTGAATCAGTATCCGCGATTTTCTTTAGATGGAAAGGATGCAATGTACAGGTCTTCATTTCGAAACTTTAATGGCCTCGAAAAGGGAAGGAAATCAGTATGCTGTGACCAGGGACTGAGAGAAAGGTTATTTTATGGCTCAAATGGTGTTAAATCAGAGAAAAGTAAACTGTTTTTGCCTGCAACTGTGGCAGGAGAAAGTGTAATTTGGTGCAAACCTGGAGTGGTGGCAAAGCTGATGGGGCTCGACGCGATGCCCGTGCCAACAAATAGCAAAGAGGGTAAAGAAGTAAGCTGTATTATAAGGAGGCAAAATCTGAGAAGGAGGGCTGAAAGACATGAAATGGAGAGAAGAATTGCCATGAATCATCATGGGAGGATGGCTTCATGTTCAAAGGCTGCAGCTGGGTACAGAGTTGTGAAGCCGGAAAATCCTGGAGGCGGTTGGCCACCGAGGCGTTTTCTTTAGATTTTCGCATCATATATATATATATATATATATCTGCCTTAAATTTACAATTACTTGATGCTGCAATTGCATATATGTTAGTTTTACTTAATTTGCATTACTCTTGAAATAGAAGTCACATTACAACACATATTTTGGTGACTCTAACAAAGGTCACGAGCATTTGTATTTTATAACTTATTTAACTATCAAAGATAACAAAGGAATGAATGAGCACAAAAAATTCCCATATGATTGGTTGGACTTTGAAACAAAGTTAATAATATCTTAATACAGAACAATGGTAGATATTTTACTATATTTAATGGTGGTGAAGGAGTGCAAAAGAAGATAGCTGCATTTGTATGCAAATATTTAACTAACTTTGAAAGAGTCATATATGCAGCCAGCTAATGCAATGAACTTTTAGCTTGCTAATTAAGTTGGCTATGTCTAAAGCATTAATTGAACAATGGCAGTTGAATCCTGATAACACTTGATCACTACAATTTAAGAGGATTAATGTAATTCAATTATTTACTCTTGATGACAATAAACAAGGATGCATAAATAATTTTTACATATCCCCATATGAGAAATACTATCATATTCAAATATGTATCTGATATTTGTTATCCCAAAGCGACAATTTTGATTTCAGCGCGATTCAATCCCAACATCGAGAGATTTTTTTCGTAATTAACTTTATTATGGAGAAAGTCTCTTAATTTGCTTGAATCAGTAGCATTCTTTTTAACTTATTCTAAGCCTTTTAAGGCGGCATGAGTTAAAATTAGCTTGAAACCTTTATTCTTCATGTTTGTTCCATAATAGGTTTGTTTATGAGGCTATTATCTTTAAGTCTTTTCATTCATTATATGCAGTCAACAAAGCTATTGTGTAATTTTGGACTTGTCAGGTATATTTATGAATGGCCAGTTGGCTTATGCAGGCTCAACTTCATATTTATTCTCTCTCTGATGCATCACATTGCCCTTCCAATGCCTTGAAAAATCAGAATAAAGAAGTGCATTTCCTCGTTAAATTGTTAAAATATGTTCATATATCATGTGAAAACCATAATGAATGACAAGTTGCATCATAAGCATTATTTCCTCAGTTTTTAAAACTAATCCGAAATGGCCGGAGGGATTTGTGGCAATGGCGAAGTGGGGTTGTCTTCAATCTTTAATTACTTGCTACTTAACATTAAAAAACCTCACCAATTGACTTCGTAAGATCAGTCCACATGAGTATAGCAGGCGAAGCGCGACCGGTTGCTTGCAGATTATGTGATTAGTTTTATTGAACAATGAGGTTTAACTCGACAGTACAAAAGTGTAGTACTGTGATAGATAGCTTAGCCTTCACTCTTGCTGCAGACCAAATTAGCATTAAAATATGGTGAAGAAAAAGCTGAAACTACAGGCTGCAGCCTTACATTGCGTAGAAGATATGGCAGTTGAAGAAAGAAAGAAATATCAAATATTCCAAGTGGGGTTCTTTTTAAAAGATTTTGCAGCCCTGTAATCATATAATCATACTTGTTTGTTAAAGGGTTCATTTCAGAAAAAGTTATGCATGCCCATCAAGTTATTTACCAAGAGAAGTCATTCTTTAGGATAAGGTTTTATTAATATTATATGCATAATGCCATCTTCTTCCTTCATGCTGATGCATATCTGTAAAGTTATACAATTTTTTACACATTTTTTTGAGAATTTACAGATGGTTACAGCTAAGAGTGTTTAATAAAGAGAAGGAAAAGTTAAACATTTTCTAAGAAGAAGAAGAAGAAAGCAAAAGGGATAAAAAAGGAAAGATGATTATTATAAGGTGGCCGGTTTGCCACATGCACACCACTTTGATTTAATCCATAAGATCCTGAATTTGAGGTAGTCAAATTCACTACTAATTAATCTTCTTAACTTTGATAAAACTATATAATATAATATAATATATAAAATGATATGAGATTCTTCTCGGTATTGGTGTCAAAAGTAAGAGGTGGATTCCCAACAGGAATGGCCAAAGCATATTTTTTACAGCTTCCTAGAATATTAAGCTGCACGATGATGAGTCAAAATGAAGTACCCTCCACACCCATGTGCCTTTTTTTTTTTTTTTTTTTTTATATTATCAAATAATTAATATAAGGCAGCTAATTAAAGATAAAACTATTGACTACGGAGATTCTTTTATTAGTATGGCTACAAAAAGCAGAGGACATCAGTTTAGTTTGCTAGCTAATTGCTAAAGTATGATGCAAGAAATGCTCAGAATTTCAATCTTTTCCTCTTGGATGGAATATTATAACTGTAAGAATAAAGATTTGTCCATCTACCAATGCCAATTAGTGGTGTCCACTTCCTCTTGTCTTTGGACTGCTGATATAAAAGTTCATTATGTTCTGTTAATCTTTTCAACGATTAACTACCGCGAGAAGCGAATCTTATAGCATGAGACGACAAGAATAAATTAATGAGGAATATAATGTGATAAGGAAAGCTATGCAAATTTAACTGATTTTGTTTTGCAGTGGCTTAGAATAATGAACAATCTGCATAACTTTCTTGAATTACAGCCAGTACCATTTTCAGTGTCACTAAGAGAACATCACACATTTCCTCATAAAAGTTTCAGCTCCACTTGACCACCATTTATGCGCATTCCCAAGGTATCTTGGTATTGAAAATGGAGGTCAAAAGTCCACTTGACTGCACTACTAGGCAAATGGATATTTTTTTAAGAAGTGGAAGTGGGGAGTTTCTTAACTCTGTGGTTGGTTATTTTTAACGGTTTCAGTTTTAGTTAGTTGCAGATACCGCTTTAAAAGTTTCTGTTTTCTATTATTTTAGCCATACAATATTTTATTTATATAACCTCTCACTTCCCTTGCTTCCTCATCTATATATACACTTGAATCCCCTGACTTCCTTCTCATATTCTCCCTCTTCTCTCTTTACTTGTTTTAGCTGGGCACATTCTCTTCTAATTTCTCAATTTCTCTTTGGTTAAGAAATGGAAGTTGTTGGATATGTCATAGTAGCTTTGCTCACAACACTAAAAGCAGTTGAGGGCTCTGGAAGTGGGTGGATAAATGCTCATGCTACCTTCTATGGAGGCGGCGATGCCTCCGGCACAATGGGTTTGTTTGCTACATTTTTTTTACTTTTTCTTCTTTCATTGTTTAGGCATGTTTGTTGCATGCTCTAAATTGTTTGGTTATGCAGGTGGAGCTTGTGGGTATGGAAATCTTTACAGCCAGGGCTATGGGACAAACACAGCTGCACTAAGTACTGCTTTATTCAACAGTGGGTTGAGGTGCGGATCTTGCTATGAGATTAAATGTGTAAACACTAAATGGTGCTTATCAGGATCCATTATTGTCACTGCAACCAACTTCTGCCCCCCAAACCTTGCTCTCCCTAATAACAACGGAGGCTGGTGCAATCCTCCCCTTCAACACTTTGATCTTTCGCAGCCCGTCTTCCAACACATCGCTCAGTACAAAGCCGGAATAGTCCCAGTTCAGTACAGGAGGTAAGCACATACACCATTTTATCAAACAATTTTTTACTTTACTTGCCTAACGTCTCAATTTATGGAGGAAAATCATTAAATCTGTTTTTCTTTTGGTGATGTTGTGTTGCAGGGTTGCTTGCAAGAAGGCTGGAGGAATCAGATTCACAATCAATGGACACTCCTACTTCAATCTTGTGCTCATAACCAATGTAGGCGGCGCAGGCGACGTGGTTGCTGTGGAGATAAAAGGTTCAAAAACTGGGTGGCAATCCATGTCCAGGAACTGGGGTCAGAACTGGCAAAGCAACTCCTACCTCAATGGTCAAGCCCTCTCTTTCAAGGTCACAACCAGCGATGGACGCACTGTCATCTCCAACAGCGCGGCTCCATCCAACTGGAACTTTGGCCAAACCTACAGTGGAGGCCAGTTCTAACTTTCCCAACACAAAATCTGACCATAATCACACTTGGAAATTGAGTTGGCAACCTCTAACTTCAGCAACATTGTCTTCTTCTCTAATTACATATCTAAGTATATAAGAGTGTGTCATGGTGGGGTGTTTTAGAAATAGCCCCCCATGTGGGATTTTTGCCTGACTGCAAGCTTTTAGTTAGGCTTCTTTTCTGTAAACTGAGGGAATCTACAAACAGTAGAAGGCTTCAAACTAAGTAACCAATAGGTTTGTTTTTTCTGATGTATTTGTGGTGTGTGTGATACACATTTTGGCAGAGGTGAAAAAGGCATTTCACCCGCTTAAGCTCAGTTGGTTTTGTTATCTGATGCTTTGTGTCCTTGTAATATCTATAGGAAATAAATAATACTTGGGAGTGTGGTTAATGAGTTTCAGTTTTACTCTTTTCCCCAGAAACAAGCACCTGGAAGCACTTTTCATCAATTGGGTTGCATTGAAGCTTTTGACTGATGCCAACCCATTTGGCATTATCATATTGGTGTAAAATAAGGAAAACGGGAGCTATAACTGAGCATAGTGGTGTTATGATACCAAATACCAATGTCTTGGTAAATGTAAGTTTGAACAAACAAGCACTGGAGTCTTGATTAATTGCACAGAATCTTCAATACCCAACTTGAGATCTAATCTCGAATTTGAAAGCCCATTGCTTTATCCCACACACAATGCCTAATCATGTAATATATATACCATATGTGTCAAACTAATAAAGTTTTTTCGCATATGTAATTATTATATGACATTTGTACATTATATAAATTACTACATTTTATTTTTTTATATATTCGTTAAAAAAACTTTTGGTCTTTGTCGATGCATTTATTTTCTAGTTTTTTGTTTTTATGCCTTTGTAATTTATGTCAAGTTGTTAGTTGGTTTTACCCTTTTAAATAATAAGATAAAAACAAAATCAAATTTACTATTTCTCTTCCTTTCTCACTCCTTAAAACTTTTTTTTCTCTAAAATATGATTTACTCATTTAATTAATATCATATTTTGTTTCAGCTCTTTAATTAGATCAAATTAAACTCCACTTTCATATATATATAAATAAATGTTTTTAATTGATAGTTTATTTTAAAAAAGTTATTATTTTCAGACAAATGTACCGAACATATTATTTATTTTTCCAATCAATTTCAATATTTTAAAATACATAAAACCAATTCAAAAAATTCACAAATAAACACACCCTTTTATACTTAGAAGATGAATCCAAGTATCCAACCAAATATTTAACATTAAGTACTAGGGGTGAGCACGGGTAGCGGGTAGAACCGGAACCGGGAGGTAGAACCGGAATCGTAACCGGAACCTACCCGGAACCGGTACTGTGCGGGTAGGTTCTGGTTCCAATTTTTTGGAATCGATACTGTGCGGTTCCGGTTCCGGTTCTTATGTGTGGAGGAACCGGAACCGGAACCTGTAAAAAGGGTACCATGTTTGGAACTTGTAAGAGGTACCCGGTTTGGAACCTGTTTTGGAACCTGTTTGGAGCCTGTTATAGAACTTGTTTTGGAACCTGTTTTAGAACTTGTTTTGGAACCTGTTTGGAACCTGTTTTGGAACCTGGACTACAATAAAATATTTGTGAAATGTGAAATGTGAATAATGGAGGGTTTCTATTATTTTACATATAAAAAAAAATTAAAATAGAAAAAGTTAAATTTTTAGAATAACTTAATTAAATAAATATACGAATACAATTATACTTATTACATATAAATTACA